GAGGTACTGAAACCAGAGAATCTTATGGTGAAAATATGGGAAGTGAAAAAAATAGATATTCTGTCAGATGGGCTGAAAGACTGTTTAATTCAAAAGGAAACTGAACAATGGGATGTATGGTATAAATGGCAGCAGTTACCAGACAGTGTTGGAGTAACATAGAATAAAACTAAAATTAAATGATAAGATAAAAGCAGGAGGGTAATCAAACGGTGAAAAAGCAAAAAGTTGATTTGCATTTGTAATATGAATTAATCGGATGGTGGTATATTTTATGTTCTCCTATCCCCCAACCTCTTTTTTCCCTTTTCCCTATTCTCCCCTTATTTTCTGTATTCTCCATCCCTGTTCTTAAATAAATACTTAAAAATGGAAAAAAGAGGAAAATTTGGTTTACTAGCCACATGTTAGATGGCCAGAATAGCCACTAATCAGTTTTCCACGAATCCTTAAGGGGTTTCAGCTACAACTGGACCCAGTGAAAGAGGGCAGATGGTAGTACAGGAAAAATTAACAAAGAAACTTCAGGCAGCCAAAGGAATAAAAACCTCTCCATCAAACCTCGTTAATGTATTTATTGAGGAGGGAGAACTTTTCATCATAGATATTGAGGTGTAGCAAAGCTAAATGAAAAAGCAAAAAGTTGATTTGTATTTGTAATATGAATTAATCGGATGATGGTATATTTTATGTTCTCCTACCCCCAAACCCTTTGTCCCTTTTCCCTATTCCCCCCTTATTTTCTGTATTCTCCATCCCTGTTCTTAAATAAATACTTAAAAATGAAAAGAGAGAGAGAGAGAGAGAGAATTGTACTCAGAGGGTGATGATTAATGGCTGCTTCTCTAACTGGGAGGAGGTAACAAGTGGGGTACCCCAAGGCTCAGTCCTGGGTCCAGTGCTCTTCCACATTTTTTATTAATGGCTTGCATAAGGGAATGCAGGGAATGCGTGTGAAATTTGGAGATGACACCAAACTGTGGAGAGTATCTAATACCATGGGAAGAAATAAAAATCAAAATTATTTTGATAGGCTGGAGCACTGGGCTGAAAAAACAAAATAAAATTCAAAATGGATAAGTGCAAAGTACTGCACCTTGGAAAAAGAAACCAAATGCACAGTTACAAGATGGGGGATAACTGGCCCAGCAATACTACAATACTGAATATGAGCCAACAGTGTGATGTAGCTCCAGAAAAGGAAAATGCAATTTTAGGTTGCATTAACAGAAGTATGGCCTCCAAATCCCACAAGGTACTAGTTCCCCTCTATTCACCACTGGTTAGGCCTCAAATATTGTGTCTGGTTATGGACACCACACCATGCTTCAAGAAGGATGCTGACAAATTGGTACAGGTTCAAAGGAGGGCAACAAGGATGATCGGGAGGCTGGAATCCAAGCCCTATGAGGAAAGACTGAAATAATTGGGCATGTTTAGCTTTTAGAAAAGAAGACAGAGGGGTGATATGATAACAGAAATACTTGAAAGGCTGTCATACAGAGGAGGGGCAGGATTTGTTCTTGATCAACCCAGAATGCAGGACACGCAACAATGGGCTCAAGATACAGGAAGCCAGATTTCGGATGAATATCAGGAAACATTTCCTAACTGTTAGATGATTAAGACAGTGGAACCAATTACCTTGAGCTCTGGTGAGTGCTCCAACACTGGAGGCATTAAAGAGAAACTTAGATATCCACCTGGCAGATATCCTTTGATTTGTATTCTTACATTGAGCAGGGGAATAGGATGTGGTGGCCTCATAGGCCCCTTCCACCTTCACTATTCTATGATTCTGTGACTATGATTCTATGATTAAATGCCTCTAGCTTCTAATTATTCATTCTGGTCCTCTCTGTACATTTATTTCTATTCACGAGTGGCCAGAGATAGATCTTTCCAACCAGAGTGCAAAGTATCTTCTGTCAACAACAGGTAGAGCCTTAGGGCAGCCATGTGTCATCTGCTGGAAATCCAAATTCTATCAATAGTCTAAGCCAGGGGATTCAAGGGGATATATTTGTTTGTTTGTGGTAGCACAGCTACAGACTGCATTTGGCCTCTGTCATGAATTTATATATAAAACAGCATTTTATGGAATGTTCTCCAGATTATTTTTTCACAATCACTATTATATTGTAAATAACCATAATCACTATAATACTGTAACAATACTGTACTTTGATGTTTTTGTCAATTATTTCCCATATTTTAATTTTGCATAATATTTCATCACCATCCTTCATCCAGGACATCAGCCAATTGCAAATGGTAATGCCGCTGCAAAAAACAATGTAATATACATGTTTCATCTCCTCCTGCCAGCAGCTGAGGCTGAGGGTAAGAGTGCACAAACCGAAAGCTTATGGGCAAGAACCATTTCATTGCTGAACTTTGTACAACAATGTGGAGCCTTTTTTTGTCTAATGAGTGAATTAAAATGTTTTCAATAAAACTGACTGTCTCTTGTATAATAATAGAGTAATGGCCACATCAGCAGAATAGAATCAGTAATTCCAGTGATGATGGGGGTTGTGAAATACAAGTAAACTTCTGTTACTACTGCGCAGAAGGCAGCAATTGTAAATAACTATTAAAATTCAATACCATAAAAACTCTATGAAAAGACAATCTAAAATAAAACAAGAGATACTGCTGGAAGATGGACTTCCCAGTCATAAAGCACTCAACCAGCTATTGGTGAAGAGCAAAGGACAAGTATGCATAGTGATGTCACTAATGACACAACTAGACTAAAGCCCAAAGGACATCTAGTGGCTGACATGCACAGAAGTGAAAGGAAAGTCTGATGCTGCACAACACATACAATTGGAACATGGAACATGAGAAATAAGAATCAAGGTAAACTAGAAACCCCAAAGCAAGAAATGGAACATATAACCATTGCATGCTTGGTGTCAGGGAACTAAAGTGGACTGGACTAGGATTTTTTAAATCAAACTCTAAGAAAAAAGTTCCTATCTGGTCCCAAAATGTCTAACTCACTTTGGAAATGCAGGGTAGATGGGCAGGGGTCTAGTGCTGAGGATCCTGAGGTCTGTACCCCCATCCCTATTCAGAACACAGCAATTGTGGTGACATGAGTGTGTTGCTGTGCCAAGACACTTTGTGCTTTCTGTGAATATAAAAAGTTCACCCTCCCTTCCAGAAGCCTGGAGGTGCCATGTTCTTTTGGAGGCAGCCTTGATTCGCTATGTAAATGAAATTTTGAACTATATGGTTAAAAGTATTCCAATGATTTTTGATAGACTTAGGCAGGATTGAATAAAATGTGAGTGACAGACTCTTTCAGGAATAAAGTCTAGAGAGTAAGGATAAAAACAGCCACGAATGTTAAATATTGAAAGTGTCTATTACCAGCTGAATCACCATCATAAGAAAGCAACTATGAAAATGCCATTTGTACAATTGATATAATTCTGCTCAGGGGAGCTTGTACCATTTGTTCTCTCTCTCAAACAAACAAACAACAGCTCTTATACAATATTATACCACTGGATTTAGGGGCCTGGGCATACAACTCGTACAAGCAATATGAATGGAACTATTCTGTGTCTCAAGCCTATTCATATTATTTCATCATCCACATACTTCAAAGGGCTGTTTTGCCCCATTCTCCTCCGTTGTCATTTTTTTACTAAATTCCCACGACTTTAAGAAAGTTGTCACCTGAGTCAGTCAGGCTTTTACATGTTATGATCTGAGGTACTCAAGTATGGGGACCCCAGTTACTAAAACCTGCCCTGGAACTCACCTTTACCACCTATAGATTCCAGCTGGAAGAATTCAGGTACTTGAAAAGCCATTTTTCCTTAGGAACCTTTGCTGAAATTAAGGCTGATTTTCAAGCATGTCTTTTTCTTTAGTTTGAGATTAAGATAATTTTGCTGGAATCTTCAATCCAATCTGTTGCCACCACACTACCCTAAACACTCCTGTCTGGTTCAGAAGCAACACAGGCTGGGCCTGGTTAGTACTTAAATGCGGGACCATCAGGAGATTCTAGGGATCTCTTGATGGGATTAAGAAATTTTGCAGACCCACTGTCAATCAGAGTTGACAGTAGTAAATTAGAGGAAGTGACAGTCTGAGTCACTTCCTATGTTAACAAAGCAGTGTGTAATGTGACCACGGTGTAGATCAGCAGTTCCTAGCCTGGGGTCCCCAGATGTTCTTGGACTAGAAGTCCCAGAAGTCTTCACCATTAGCTCTGCTAACCAGGATTTCTGGGACCTGGACCCAAGATTAGGAACCACTGGTGGAGGTACAAACATGTTCCTTGCATTTACAGTGGTACCAGACACATGTAGTATGTTAGCTTTTTAATCAAAGGTCCCTTGATTAAACATTCATGATTAGAGATGGGCTATTTGTAGTCATATCCCTGGGGATATGAATATTGACATCACAGGTGCTGCAGAGGAGCATCCTCCCCCTGAACCAGCTGGTCCACTTATTGGTCGCTAGACATTGCATGCGTTCATCATTGTTAACATCATGCCAAGTGTGGAAGTAGCCTGGTCGGTACTTCCTCCCTCCCCACACAGCTGACCATTCTGGCGAGGTGGTGGGATGAAGAGTCTCTCCACTCAGCTATTGAGTGGTCAGCTGCTGGGGAGGTGGGGAAGTGCTGGCTGCACTGCTTTTGTAATTGGCACAATGTTGACAATGACAGATGTATGCAATGCATGATGGCAAGTGAGTGGACCAACCGGCTCTAGGGGGAGGGAATGGACCTCTGCGGCACCTGTGGTGCCAATATTTGTATTTGCATCCTTAGAGATACGAATACAAATAGCCCATCTCTATTCATGATATAACCAACTATGAGTGTTTATCTTTAGAGGCAACTAATCATTGCCCCATACTGCTTTAATAATAATCTTGCTAGTTTGAACTACAGTTACTAAGTTTCTCTGCTTTCTCCCTCTCTTTAAGCAGCAGAGAATTTCTTAATGACTCTCTTGATGCCATTTGTCGGTTGTTGTTCGCATTGCCCCTGGTGCTACCAACTAGGATTTGAAAGCTGTGAAGAGTGTAGATTCAGGTAATTGTTTTTCAAAGAGCTGTTTTCTTCTCAAATCTATAAAGTAACATAAAATAGAAGAGGGAGACAGAAACATTTGTTATAGAAGCATTTAACGTAATTGCAAAAGCACATCAAGTCCAAGAAGGCATTGTCAGTTGGCAAGATAAATGTGATGCACCAATCTTTCTGTTGCCACTGCAGGGGAGAAAAGTAGTAATTTTTTACCATCCACATGATGCTGTTGGGAATCCTACCAGCTAAAGAGTTCAGAAGGGACACATGGCCAGTGTGTTATCTAGTAAGTTCATTCTATTACGCTACCTTTTTTTTAATCAACAAAGACCCATAACTAATAAAGTCTAATAGCTGCAGCATACTCTCCAGAAAAATATTCCCTCCAGCCTCCTTAGGCAACTTATTCCCACTGAAACACTGTGCTTTGCAAGAAAGGAAAACATAATTAGCAAATAAGATTGCTACCAATAAAGAGAAAGATACTTCTGTGTGGAAAATCGACAAAAACGGGCCTTTAAAAACCCTATTTGATTTAGAGCAGGGGTGAGTAAAATACGGTCTGTGGTCTGCATGCAGCCCTTGTGTCCAAAATGCAGCCCCCCATCACCCAAGGGGTGTGTCCCCAGCATCCCCCATTCAAAGTGCTTTTATAAAAAAATTATACTAATATCATGAATAAAATAGGTACACATTTAGAACATATAGCCTGAAATCTGCTTGCATAGGTTCACAGGTGTAACTTGATGTTACAGTTGCTAAAATAGCACCAAGTACTATCCACAAAGTACTTGCACTGACATATCATACAGTTGGTTGTGATGGAGACTGTGTGACTGTTCAATCAAATTACTCAGCATACATAGCTTAGGTGTAGCATCAGACCCAGTTACACCTGTGTAGCTTTACATTATGCAGCAACAAACTGAATTCCAGTCACTGTTGGATTAAAGCAATTCAAAACATATTTTTAAAGGTGACCATTGGCCAGATTTAAAGTCATTTTCATGGAAATCGATCTAACCGTCAAAGACCTACGTGAATAAAATTATCTTGCCTGCCAGAGGAAAGGTAACAGGAATGGAATTTCTCTGTTTCTTGGCTTAATTCAGAGTCACTAGAATTTTATTTCAAGATAGTAGCAGATGATATCACAGTCTGTGCTATTCAGAATGTTCTTGCTACTTAGAAAATTCCAGGGCTTTGGCCCCACAAGCCTTGGTTCCACTACACCAATGCAGTTGCATTGAATACATGAAGATCTGGAACAAGGCTGACTGCCTAATCTCTCTCTTTATCTCTTAGGTATTCAGTGTGACTAGAAAAGTGCTGGCACAGTCATCATTTGGGATATGCAGTAAAACGGGATGTATGATAAGTTGGCCAAATTTAGAGTCAATGATTGAAATACCAACCTGGAATGAAACTTGAATTGTAAAGGGAAATCTGAATGCAACAACTTGATTGTCTTTTTGAGAGATCTGCTCGTATCTCTTTTTTACCATTATGCCTTATATGGCGTTCAGGAATAATTCACAGACAGAACAGAGGGGTTGCAGAGAGACACAACTATAACTTTAAAAATTGGAATGCATGAGATTCGCTTTAGATAGCTCATAGAAATTGCAGTCTTAAAATAAATGTAGAGGTGCACCAATCTTCCCCGACTTGCCGTATCTTATTCTACAAAACAATGTAGGAACTTAAAATCCCTGAGATTAAATACAACTGCCTTTTAGATTGACTTTACATTATAAGCATGAAATTTCCATTATTTAGAGGGACAAGATGAAGAGTGTTTGGCAGATAGCTGGCAAAGCTCCTTTGGAGCCTTGGATGCTGCTAATGGCTTTGAGGAAGAGAATAATGTTGAACATTAGAGATGGTCATGAAAGAAACCACAAAGCAAACACACACGCACACGTGCACACACACACACAAAACCAAAAACAAAACAACTGCAAATCAGTCTATTTTGTGGTTTCGTGCAGGGCACTTTGGGGAAACACAGCTGCCCAGAATGAAAAGAAAAGCTATTGGTGTTGGCTAAAGAGTGCTTTCCTGGAGAGACCTGCTTTGAGGAGCCTATAACCTGGACATCCCAAATCCAGTCTTCACCAAACTTGCAGAGGGTAGGTAGGAGAGTCACTTGAAGAATCACTGTGAATTTGGTATCTCTAACTCATGCAGGGGTTGTGCTACAGCTCCTGGAAGCCCAAAAGCATATGGACCATAAAAAGGTTCATTTTCTTGTAAAGTTTGTGAAAGTTTGTGGTCCATGAATACAAATGAACCCTGAACGATCACAAACCACTGTTGTCCAGGTTTATGCTCCAGAGCAGAACAATGTTGAACAACATTTCAGTTGAGTCGCAGGTGTTTATTGGTGAAATGACAGATATCTATGACAGAGTGGCAGCTGCCTATCAGCTAGGAGATCTCCTCTTGTCTCAGTAAGTTAAAGACAGGAGATATTCATGAGAACTTTTGATTGGCACATGTTGTCAATATTATTGTTGTACTTTGACTACAAGAAAGCGAGTATGGTCAGGGTAACTGGGGTAACCCTAGGGTACTGAAATTTGGAGATTACAAAAATTTGCAGTTTGAAGGGCACAAGTGTACCAGTTTGGCCCCACATTTAGAACAAACCTGCCTACCACAAGCATGTATATTGCCACCAGTCTTTTCTTCCCAGCCGGAAGGGAAGGTAAACAGGTGGGCTTAGATGGGCTGTCATGTGCTCAGAACCAGGTGTCCATCCGTGTTCCCCCATCCTCACCCCACATATGCCAGTCTTATGTGATCCATGAATAAATAATAGGCCCATAAATCTCTATTCATCAAAATGGCTAGTTATATTCTGGTGGCTCTATTGTGAAATTGTCACCTTGGGCAGATTCAAGATCTCATCACTGCTGAGACATGAACTCATTATGTGACCTTGGACCGCTCCCTTTCTATCTGCATTACTGTGAAAAACCAGTGAAAAGGAGAGTCATGTGGTTTGTCATGGATTTACTGGGGGGAAAGTTGGATACCCATGTTAGAAATATCAAATTGTTCCTTTTTCCCTGTATACATGCATGCCCTGATGGCACAGATATCGTCTATGTGTATTCACTCATACATTAAACTAATTATAATTTTGAAGGTCCACATTTTCTCTCAATGTATGGAGTAACAAGAAATGTTGAAGTCACTTGCTAGAGCACAAAGGATCTAAGAATTATATTGGTGCTCTGGCCGGAAACATCACAGCTCCTCCTCTCAAAGAAGACCCTGGGCTTTGATCTTCTAAATGTCCTCTTCATTGCAGCACAGTTGTTCCGAGAGAAGGGGATTTCATTCCATTCTGTTCTATCTCCATTCCTCTCCCTGTCTTTCTTCAGTCTCTCTGAATTACAGTAGCTACTTCTAATAGGCTTTCCATGCAAAACAAGAATCCTATAAATAAATTTGTACTGCTTTTTTTTTTGAAACAAATAGACAATCACAATGATTCCCTCCCTTCTATTCTTGAAACAGTCACTGCAGGACTCTGAAAAAAGGATTGCTAAGAAGCAAAATCAGCAATGATCATACTGTCAGTTCTTTAGTATGGTACAGAGCATAAAGAAAATCCCAAAGGGAACAATTGGTTCATGGAGGTATGTAATTACCTTTACTGCTGGTCTTAAAGAAATCTATAATCTTTTCCAGGAGGATTTATTATTTATGGTTAGGTCTAATGCTTGTTAGTATTGAAGAGCTGTTCCATGCTATTCAGTATGAAACATTAGTTTCATAATTTACAAGCTCCTACCCCAGAAATTATTTTAATAAACTACAATATTCACCTCTTTATCTTCATGAATGAGATGCATCCTTGGATGTAAAAGCATCTTGAGAGAACAGTTCATGTCACCATCATTCGCACTTGGAAGGAACTCAAATCTGGTGCATGATAAACCTTGGCAGGGAGAATCTCAGAACTGAAATATGACACTTGAATGCTTAGAAGCCGCAAGAGCCATGCAACTGTATCACTCTTCATTTTCCACCTCATTAACATTTTAGAATGGGAATATAATGCAGAAATCCTCTCCCCCCCCCGACCCCGACACAATGTTTTTTTGCAAGATCTAACTCTTTCTGAACCTTTGCAATGACAACAGTCTAAAAACTGCAGCGCCACATGATAAATATATGCAAGGCCAGAGTAAAAACAAAAACAAAACAAAGTATGCACACATCTGTGCTCACACAAAGCAATTTTCCAAATTAGGAAGGTTGAAAGTAATGGTTGCAATCCAACAATGGATAAACTCCACAGCATGCTTTGCACAAGTCTTGGATTAAGAAAAAAAACACCGTTCATATATCTGGGAGTGAAAAGTGGACTGAGGGCCTTCATTCCAGCTCCTTTTCTTTAGCCTTTTGGCCAGATAATCAATATCATCTTGAAAGGATTATAGCTGAGAGGTAGAACACTCAGTGCGCAGAAGGTCCCAGGTTCAATGTCCAACATCTCTGAGAAGGTGGGATCAAGCTACTGTTCGGAGATGTCATGTTGCTGGGTCTCGTGGCATGTGGAGTCTCTAGGAATTGCTGTGCTTCTCTAGGTTCCCATGTGGAGGGACAAATCTCAGACTGAGCAGCAGTTGGGGAGGAGAAAAACCCAATTTTTGTGTTTGAAATGGCTGGGCACTCATCATTACCCATTCGCAGATGGTGCCAGGCCTCATTGGGTCAGTATGGAAGCAAATTCATGTATGGAAAATGTTAGTGTACCAAAACCAGGAGCAAGAAAAGAGGACACGGGAGAGAGGTAATGGGTGCATGCACTTGGGATCATGAGGAATTCTGCAAGAAGGCAGAATGCTTTCATTATTATTCAGAAGGGTTTCTTGTTGTACTGCCACCACATCTGTTCTCCAGGCATTTGGCAGAAGCAGTTTCCACCTCTTTACTAATCCTTGCCTATTCCATGGATCTGTCATAGCACAAGGACACATCTCTTTGACATCCAAAAGGCTCTTTCCTGAGCCTCGGGTTTTGGCCCCAGATTCTCAGTGAATGAGATGCTGCTGACCTTACAACTCTCAGAATCGTTCATAGGGCTGCTTTCATTCAGAGTAGGTCATACTGTGCCACCTAGCCCTTGATCTGAGCCACTGTAAGGTGGCTTTCCATTGAATCATCACTTATATCCATAGTGCTGTATGTTCATAATCCTGATTAGAGATGGGCATGAACCACTGGTTTCGCAGTTTGTGCCAGTTCATGTATTGGCCG